TGATACACTTGTCGTTTTTATGAGGATATTACTAAAAGTGGGACTATATTTATATAATATATGTGTATATTAATATAAGAGGAATATATATTATTAGATATATATTCTTCTATTCTAAATATTATTAGTTTATCATCAATACCCGCAGCTTAGCTGGGCCCATTTTGTGCTTAAGCCTGTTGAAGTTTCAGTTAGCCCAAACAAACTTTTCTTTTAAATCATTCATATACAAAACTTGCCTACGCCTCACTAGGCGTATGCGCAATTTCTATGCAGAGGCCCAAATTACCATGTGGCGCACATCAATCCTTTCGCCCACACACGCACACCCATGCAGATGCACACCCACATGTGTTGGACAACAAGTGGCCGAATTCACATAGCTATTAGATGGCCGTGGGTTTTGCTACAGCCATGTCCAATATATGCAGAGCCGTTGCCACCTTTTCGGCCATGTCATGCGGCTGATGATGATGTGTGAGTGGGGCTGATTGGTGGGCTATGGCCATATATTGGATTGTTGTGTAATATGCTGCGTGTGTGTATGTGTGTGTGTGTGTGTGTGTTCATAAAAAACAATGACGGACATTGGATCTGCTGAGGGTATAGAATAATAGTATATCAAAATTTTACAGCCAGCCACAAAAAGAATGAAATCAAATCATTTACGCAAAACGAGAGACCCAAATTGAATGCCAAGACAAGACTAAGCGAAGAAAATATACAACGTTAAGCGGATGTACGACGCTTATCCCTTTCAGCACACACACACACACGCGCGCAGAGAGTGAGCGAGACGGAGATCGGAAGAGAAAGAGAAAAAGAGAGAGTAAGGGAGAAATGGTTTTTATTATTTTTATTTTATTTAAACCACACAAAATACTTAAGACGATTTTGTGTTTTGTGGTGCAAGATGTATTGCCCATGGCCAAGTAAAAAGTGTGAAAAGAAATGAGAGACAACATAAGTTCTAGCCAAAAGGGTATATATGTATGTATGTATATATGTATATATGTATATATGCAACATGTCCAGCGAGCGGTCTGTGCGGTTCCATTCTGGACATCAGAGCTACAATACGTGCCCCAAAGGCATTTGCCGTACACTCCCTCTCTCTGTCTCTCTCTCTCTCTCTCACTCTCTCTCTGTGTGTGTGTTGGTGTATGTAAAATAAGCAAATGTCTTACCTTTCGCATCAAGACGTTCGCTTCAAACAATGGCACGTCCTTTGATGACAGCATCGGATGGCAGCAGGCATCAATAATAGAGCCGCATATGTCCTTTATCAAAGCATTGCAAGACATTCGCTCCAAGTATTTATGACAGCTGCCCGGCGACCGCCCCATTTTCACGGCCTTTGGACAATGCTTAAGCATTACGCAAAATATGCGACAGCATACAAATTGCGGATTTTTATATATAAGCACACATACATACATATATATATATATACATATATA